AATTTCAGCATAACCAAATAAAAATGTTTCCTTATCAATTACAATATTAAGGGGAAGAAGGACCTTTAGCTGAAAAAATACCTGTCATTCAATTTTTTTTATATTTTGTATATTTCTTATTAAGTATGTCCCACATATCTTAAAGCAGTTATATCATTAGGTTTCTAACCTTATTTTAGAGATATTGATTGACAAATATTATGCCCTACAGTATCTAAGTGGAGTTTTAATTCTCCATGTTTCCGGGCTCATTACTCTGTCCATAATTGGATTTTTAAAGTATATATAAAAAAATATGTAAGTGAACATGTATCTTTTAAAATATTTCAGAGTATGAATTGGGTTTAAAATTCGAAAAGCCAAGTTTCATCTATCACACTGCATCTGGATAGGGAAAATTACGAACTTTTTAAGACAACTTAAACAACTAAAAACGTAATTTACAAAAAATCCTATCATTCAATATTTTTAAATTTACGTTGAAATGCAAGTCCTTCAAATTACATGTATTTATTAACTGTAAAAATTTCGAATGGTGAAGCTGACCTCGATATTGCACAGGACATCGTTAAAGACGACATAAGCAGGACAAAAACTTGTCATGTTTACATTTCTCGAGTACGGGAAAAACCAACAATGACGTCACATGTAAGCTACATGTAAATAAGTGAAATAAGATATACCTACATAAGATTTCCGTCATCAGCCATGCAAAAATAATTTTTGTGTTCCCCGTTTCTCAAAATACCTCATCATATACTGATTATGACCTGTTTTTACATAATAATACCGCCCTTGTATTCACCGAGTATGATTTTGCTGTACTAGCAGATCGTGTATGACGTCACCGACTTGTTGGACGCGCAGTTTAAAGAAACAGAGGAGTGGATCAATCTTTTTTCATAATTTGTTAATGTTTACAAGAATGTTAAACTTTTTATTTTTTTAATATAAGATGGTAATTAAAGTTCAAAAATTGTCAAAAATTTATACAAGAACTGATGCTTTACACGTTTTGCACTTATATAAACGGAGACTATGACGTAGTTAAACAGTCATGTGACCATGTGTCCTTCATCCCCTTAAATGAAAAGAAGTCATTGAACCAAGCATAAACATTTGTTAAAAATATATTTACCTAAAAAAAGATGCTCTAATGTTTCACTTTATCTACTACAAAAGCTGCATAAATCATTATCTAGTTTTTTAATTTTTTTTCAAAAAGATGTTTGTTGTTAAGTTTTTATGATTTATTCGCCGTTGCAACCACTGTAATCTTCTATCTTTGATCACTTTAAAACATTTAAATTTATATTTTCCCACTCTTGCTTTGATATTAAAAAATACTGATCCCATTTTTTTTTTGACCGGTAGGCTTTTCTTCACCATCATTTAAAATTCTGTATACTTTTTTGTTTCCCTTATTATCCAATACAAGAGGGATAATCTGTAATGGAATAAGGGGTTTTTGTTCTTCATTCAGGTTTGTAACTGATTAGTCTCTTATACATTTCTTTACTGCTTGTGTTACACTTAAAAATTCTAAAAAAGTTTGTTTTTACATTTTTGTATACCGTAATAAAATCGTTATAATTCATAAAGTTAACATCTTTATCCAACAATGAATTAACCGTATAAACATTATTTTCATACCATGATTTAAAAAAAAGGTCTTTTTATCCACCTTAATATTTTCGTTAAACCTTAAACATTTTTGCACATTTATTTGGATATGTTTTCTTTTTCATGACATGTGCAAAGCTGTCTCCATGACTAAAACGTCAATCCAAAACAGATTTTTAAACTTCTTAACTTTCTGCAAAGCATAAATTTGCCCATATTTTATTGCTTGGGAAATATCAACTTCTGCCCCTATAACACACTGCCATTTGGCTTTATCTTGTAATATCTTTCTAATCCATACTTGCATTAAAATGTTCAACATTAACCATTTTCAATCCCCCATTCACATATTCCTGAGTAACAATTGATTTTTTTAATTTTGGAAACTGGACTTTTCCATAATAATTCAAAATACATATGATTTAGCTTTCCAAAATAAGATTTTTAGGTAGGGTTGGTAAGGAGATAAACAAGTGTACTATTTTTGAAATAGGACTTGATGATTGTTATTCGTCCTAATGGTGCGAGATTCCTTCTTTTCTATTGATTTAATAAGCTTGGAAGGCATTATTTTTGAGTTGTAATTTGCTTTCAGCATTTGCTCTAAGTCAATATTAAATTCTGTTCCTAGAACTTGAAAGGATTTACTTCCCCAAATCAGCTCTGTATTATTCAGTAGCGTTTCTACACAAAACCTTTTGCTACCAATCCATATAACCTGACTTTAAATTTAAATAATTAACTTTTAAACCAGACAAATGCTTGAAATCATTAAGCTCCTGTGCAGTTGTTTCTAAGGTCGTTATAGTTCCATCTAGAAAAAAGAAAAATTCTGATACCCTTAATTTTTTCATTACCTCTTAATTTTATTGCTTATATTTCTGTACAAAATATAAATAAATATGGGCATATTGGGTCTCCCTTTCTACAACCTCTTCCATTTCTGAACCATCTTGATAATTTACCACCCTGATTAATTGCTGTTGAAATATTCTTGTAAAAAAAACTTGAACCCATTTTCTAAAAGATTCTTTAAAATAAAAGAATTTCATAAAATAAAATAGTAAAAAATAAAAAAAATAATAATAGAATAGTAATTTCAACGCTTTTTCAGAATCAGTAAGAAGAATCATACCAAAAATATTTTTGACTGGAGTATAATCAGTCTTGTGTTTTCTGATATATTTCTACCTGGTAAAAATCCTGTTTGGTCCCCGTGTATTTTTTTTTGGTAAGACAGATTTTATTTTACTTGCTATACACCCTGACCCAATTTTATAGACTGTGTTTCGTAACGAAACTGGTCTCCAATTCTTTAAGTACTGTTTAGGTTATTTGGTTTTGGTAGACAAACAATAACCCCCTGTTTCCGAGTGACTGATAATTCTCCTTTTTCATAGGCAAAATTTAAAGACCTTACCACGAAATAAATATTTGTTAATGGGTTAAATGGAATGGTGAATCATTTGACAGTAGGTTAGCTGTTAGGGAACATCTGCTTCAGGCCTCCGTTACAATTACAACAGTATACACTTATTTCGTGACTTCGAGGGGGAACAGTCAAACTGTTGTCCCGAGATGATGGGAAAGACCTAGGAAATAGTTGCCCGAGGCCGAAGGCCAAGGGCAACAGTTTTCCAGAACTTCCCCATTATCGAGGGATAACAGTTTGACTGTTTCCCGAGTTGTCATGAAATAACTGTTTTATTACTATATAATTTCTTATTAAAGTAATAATATAGAAATGTTAATCAATGGATTTTAAAAAGTTTAGATATAACATTCTGAGTCAGTTGTTTAAGGCAAAGATCTATAGGGAGTGAAACGGGCCTACATTTTCCCAAATTACCCTCAGAAAAGGTGTTCCCGGCCTCTTCTTTGAAATGATATTAAATTGAATATGTATAGATTCGGGATTACTTTTCAAATGATGATTTCAAATTGAATGCCATGAAAATGCTTCATTTTCTACAGAATTCAATATTATAGCTGTAAAATAGGGGAAATTAATTAAGACGTCACAATGAACCAGTTCAGCCATGCAACAGTTTATTCTGTTATTCTGTGATCGGATAACAGTTTGACTGTTTCATGGTGTGCAAAAACATTAAAATGATTCAGGAAACAGTTCAAAATGCCTCCTTACAATTTATATAGTAGGTTAAGTAATAATATACAATTAGTGTTGTTTTTGAGGTCAATACGATGATTTAGCCACCTGAGGAGTACAATATTCACCGTGCCCGAAGGGCGAGGTGAATATTGTATTTCAAAGGTGGCTAAATCATCGTATTGACTGAAAAACATCAATATTCGTTTTATTATATGAATCAATAATTAAATGATACGAACTCATTGAGTAGTTCATGCAATCTTACTTGTTTACATTTGCTGAAGGTCGCCCGCGTGGCGCAGTGGTGAGAGCGTCTGCTCTAGAGTCGCGAAGTAAAGAGTTGATCCTTACGTCCCGGGTTCGAATCCCACTGGGGACGTGGAGGCCGGTCCTTCGGATGAGACCGTATAAACCGAGGTCCCGTGTCGCAGTAGGTGCTGGCACGAAAAAGATCCCTCACTGCTCAATGGCCGTAAGTGCCGAGTATAGGACAAAATTTGCAGCTTTTCACCGGCAAATGGTGGCGTCTCCATATGAGTGAAAAATTCTCGATAAGGGACGTTAAACAACATACAAACAAACAAAAAAACATTTGCTGAAGTCCTAGCTAAATGCAATGAGAGAAGCGGGGTTATATAAACATTACTGGTCATATTAATTTATAACTTTTCAAATCTACTTTAGTTGCTATGAAAAAAAGAAATAATATCAGGCTCTTTCATTTATATAATAGATTTTGAAAAGGGGGGGGGGGATTATCAGGGGAAAATGACAGCTGAAAAAAATCTTTGATTAGCCCCCACAAAAAGAGAATTCTTTTAACTTCAAATTTTCTTTTATGGTTGGGTGGGGTTAGGGGTGGCGGATTAAATAAATTTTTAGTCTACGCTCAGAATTTTTTTTGGGGGGGGGGGGTGTCCACTGCACCCAACCCCCACAACCATCCCCACCCTAAATTACATATTCCCTAATGTTATGTTCACCTGAGTGAAAGTCAGTAGCAAGTGAACTAGCATTCCAAAACTATTTGTATCTATTTGGAATTTCCCAATCTATTTTTATATTTTTAGACCAATTTAGAGAAAATAAATCCTTATATTCACCTGGAAGTTCACGTGCAGGTGAATATAACGTTTTGTTTTTTTTGTTTGTTTTTTTTTACATTGTTGGATCTCAGCCACTCATAAAGATACAAATTATTCACTCATATAATAAAACTAGTTAAAATTAAAAATATCTAAATATTTCACCTCAACATGCCCAGGTCTGGTTTCAGTTGTTGGTCCTATATCGGAAGACGCGAGGCACATAATGGTGTTCAAGCTTTGTCGGCAGCCCCTAATTGTATGGTTGTAAGTATTTTATTCACAATCAAACGTTTTGAATTCATTCTCTTGTCTCGTAAAAAGTGTAAATTTATGGAAGTAGAACTTTACAGAACGAAGGTTCCTTGTTACATGAATTGGGTCATGTAATTGGATTTTGGCATGAGCACTCCCGGCCTGACAGAGATAGTCACATTAACGTGGAAAACGATTCAATAGAAGAAGGGAAATTATTCAACTTTTACAAAAGCAGCTGGCAGAATGTGGAGACGAAAAACGTCAGCTACGATGTCAGCTCTATAATGCATTATTCTGCCACCGTAAGTTTATTCACTTTTGATATTTGTCAATACAGCTGAATTGTTCTATCTTTTGGACATAACAATTTTGTTGTTGTTCGCAATAATTACATGTACATGTAATAACCAGGGGGTTCCCAATATATATATATATATATATATATATATATATATATATATATATATATAAGTAAAATATATTGAAATTATGTTATAAGGCACTAAAAGAACATCAATGTAAGAAACCTATAAATCGGTGTAATTTAGTTTATTAAACAGAGATTTTGCCGATAATAATGGGGAAGCAAGAGGGAGCAGGGGAGCATTTATAACTGTCTCCGTTACGGTCTCCTTTACTATTAGAACTAGTTTGGGATTGGTGTATATGCAGCCTAATACTGATACATTTAATTACCTGCATCAAAGAGGTTGAACTTGAACTGACTATTTTTTTTACACGCCATTTGATGTTTACATCTTATTCAAATCAATATTTTCATGAAAGTTTCAAGATAATGTTATTAAAAATAAGAGAATTCAAAGTTTTGAAAGTTTGATGACCCCTAGACGGTAAAATAGTCGGAAAGACACCAAAACAAGTGATGCCTATATGTTATCCACTCGACACAGACAAACAAAACGGGAACAACATCTCATCAATATATATAGGTCGAATCCAAATTGGTATCCCATAGGCGACATTGTTGACGTTTCATCTCATAACAATTTTCATCAAATGAAATAATTCTAGTCTCTCCTTGATTAAAATTTCGGGATGGTATGTTGCAACGCAAAATGTAATAACGACACATAATGCAATAAACTGAAATTATTAAATTTTGCGTATAGATAAAAGCAAAACTTGGAGCATCCCGAGCGTTACCACTCGTGATGACCATTATTACAGAGAATTAAGATAAACAAACAACATATTCTAATACATTATAAATTTGTTATATAATATCGGAATTTTGCATCCCTGATTTTAACACAGGCATGCGCCCTGTATTTCACACCATGTATCATCACCCTTTATTTCACCCTTTATCACACCTTTATTACACCTTTCCGGAACACCTCTGTACTTTTCATTCGGAGTACCTTTGATCCCTTTCTATTGTTAATGATGTTTACCTAAATTTCATTTTTTTAATTAGATATTTTATGTCATTCAAAATATATAATTATTTTGTTTAATTTATAACTATTTTAATTCTTATCGCTGAATAAATTGTCTTTGATAAGTGATGACAAAAATTCAACAAAATAGATGAACACATTCAATTATTAATAATGCATTTACATGTACATGTATAAATGAATTGTGGACATTATTTTCAAATATGTAATAAAAACAACAATATATATCAAAATCTGTATTACACCCCATGCATATAAACCCTCGACCAATATCAGCCATCTGGCTTTCGGCCCTCGGGCTGATATTGGAGCCTTGGGTTGATATGGGGTGTGACACAGATTTTGCCATGTATTATTCTATATTTACTAATCTGATAAAAATGTAATGCATAGAACCATACGAGAACAATTTTAACCACTGTGAACAAACCAGTTTTGTTCTGGTTTGTACTGTAAGGACATGTTCAGTATTATATCAATCAATTAGATTTTAAATGCATTATGAAGAATAAGATTCACTTAGGGCTTTTCTAAAAAATTAAAACTTTTCATTTTTTGTCGAAAATACATAAAATTTCACTTGCGACATTGGTGGAGTCCTGCATATTTATAAAAATGACGTACTTTTCTCGCTAGTCTATGTATAATAACGTCATGAATTGCGTCATTATCCTCAAATCCTGAAAAATTATTCAAAAATGGCCAAAAGTTTAAGCAATTTTTCACTATTTTGCATAGAGCCCAACCTCTGATCAAGAATGTGCAATTATAAAATGAAAGAACTGTTTCAGAAGATTATACTACATGTTTTATTCTTTGGAGGGAGGGGTGGGCTCATTTTTTAATCTTTGCTGAAGGTATCAAATACACCCGTTTTCTGCAAAATTCAAGAACATTGCAACTTCACAAAGCCTGTTTTTAAATACTTTGACTCTCAGAGGAATTTTTTTTATAGGAAATGAATCCACTAAAAGTCTCTACATCATATCATGTTTGAAATAGGACATTGGGACTAGTTCAGTTAATTGGTAAAAAGGCAGGGCCATTTTATGGATAAAGTGAACCTAGCTCTTTCTTTCTGAGGATTTCATTGAATTGACGCTTACAGATGTATATCTTCACCGACGGTAAATCCAGCTTACTTTGCTCTGCTATCTCTTGTGGAAAAAAATAATTGTTATACCTTATAAAAATTGGTTCCTATATAAATCTATGCTTAAAAAAGTATATAAAAATTTTTAAGTATATAAAAAATTATATACTTAAAAAAGTATAACATTTCCAATGTTTTTCTGCGCGGTCATAAAAAAATCGATGTTGGACCGCAGAGTTAATTTAAAAATGAATTGCCTAAAAGATAGATAATTGTAGGAAAATACAAAGCCCCTAACAGAATGTTTTAAGTGTTTGAAAAGGCGAGAATTTAAAACTGTACCAGGTGGGTTTGAACCACGACTCAGAAAAGCAATAAGCGAAAATAAACTTTGCGGGTTATAAAGGATCATTCCTTATAAGGCCGTTTTTAGGCCTACAATGACTTCATTTTTTTGAAATAATATTTTTTCCTTTCAAAACTGCATGAAACAGTAGGTTAATGTTTCAATTTAGTAATCGAACTGTGTGCTAGAAATAAAGGAAAAAAATACTTTTTATATACTATAAGGTGTGGATATAAGTTATTTATAATAATTATTTATAATTATAGATTAGTTTATCTATGCCACTTCTTTGTATTTATTCCTCAGGAGTACATTATATCTGTTAGTACTAGAGATGATAAAAGCTAACTGTGTTGTAGTGGGAAAAATTGCAATTGTGTTATTAACTTGTTTTTCGATAGGTACACACGTAACTTTTATAGATAGGGAATTACTGACATAAAATAAAAGTTTCATAATTGGAATTCTCGCCTCGACCTTTCAGAGGAACGCTCATATATCTCCGTATGAGTGACATAGGATCCAAGTATTTTATGATACCTGGATGTAGAGCGGAATCAATCTATTGGGACTTCAGAATGCAACACACATATTTGGTAGCTTTATAGCTACAAAAACAGCAGTTCTGTCTTAGAAAATTAAATCCAGGAAGAGGGGATCCCTAAAGGTCACATGTGCTTGATAATTGAATGTTGCTTGACCGTATTTTAGTATTTTCACCCAGGTAAAGAGATCATCCACTTTAGGCGAAGTGTTATAATTTTGATTTATGTATGGTGTTTCATTACTGACCAATGTCTACAGTGGCACGGGATCTTTTTTTTTAAGCTATTACCCAAAAGATCCATGACTTCTACTTATAATGCTGAGGACTTAGCAAAGAAACAGTCACCACCCAGTTAAACAACTTTGTTTTTGACGCGGCTCCAGGAACGAAAATTGAATGATAATGGTCATTTATAGTATCAAACTATGCTTTTTGTAGTCCTTTAAGATTACATTAACAAGAAATTTCCTGCGATCTCCGTTGCTCAGTTTATATCTCTAGATATTTTTGTGTTTAAACGCAATAATTTTGCGATTAAACGCAATAATCTTTGTGTTAAAAGGCAATCATATGTATCAAACCTTGCAGAATACAACGGACCCACGCATACTGATATATTTTCTTTCTTTCTTTTTTACTTATTAGGAAATTGTGTATTGTATAGCTTTGTAGAATCAGATTTCCTCCGAGCAAACGCTCTCTGAAAGGATAAATCATTGATGTGCATTTATAGAGGAGAAAAAAATATCGGGTTGTAAAAACAAAGGCAACCTAAGAACGAGACATGCCTTTGACTTATTAGATCGCTATACTCTTGATAAATATTTGGTCAGTTGCTTACAATAACAAATCACTTTTCTATTTGTTTTTTTTTTCCTACTTTGAAACAATTTCTGCAACAATTAGAATGGATCTTCTAAATAAAAGACTAAAGAAAAAAAAATGGTTGACAAACTTTCCCCCACGTTGCGGTCACAAAATTTAACCCATGTATAAATGGATTCAGGAAAAGACTAATGGAATGTTGGAACTACGTACAACATGATGAAGTATTTAGACTTAAAAGTATCGCAACCTTTCCTATGGTTGCATACAGTAAACACAAGAACATAGGTGATGGAATCATATGAGATCAAAATCAAATGAAAACAGATTGATCGATGTGTACTACCAAATTGACAAGTTTTTATTAATCCCACTGAAACTTTCTTAATTAATTTTGATACGTAAGAAATTGATCAAAGACTTCACTAAGAGTGTTGGGTTCTAATACGTTTAAGACATTCTGGTTGTTAGGATGCCATTGTTTAACTACAATTTTCAAAAACTGGAAAATTTTGCAAAAAGACACAGAACCAAAAGGTTCTTTGAAGTGTTGGATCCTAGTAATTATGAACTTTGTCTTATTTATGTATAATTTTGAAACTACGGTATCATTGTGTTTAAGTGCAAAACGAATCCTTAAAAGGAAGGATTATTGCGTTTAAACGCAAAGATTATTGCGATTAAACGCAATAATTATTACGTTTAAACGCAAAAATTATTGCGTTGAAACGCAAAAATTATTGCGTTTAATCGCAATATCATTGCGTTTAATCGCAATATCATTGCGTTCAATCGCAATACTATTGCGTTTAATCGCAATATTATTGCGTTTAAACGCAAAAATATTATTGCGTTTAAACGCAAAAATTGTTGCGTTTAATCGCAAAATTATTGCGTTTAAACGCAAAAGATTCAGAGTCATAGTTCAGGTCATAAAAAATTGTCTTAACTCTTAAATGAATCAATCTTTGTATTTATACCATCGTCTTCAACTTCCCTCAATATAATTTTTTTTCTCCATCCATGAGTCTACTCTGCTCTGTTTTTTGCAAATATAACAACAAATTATTTGTCGTAAACGGGCATTTATTAGAATACCAAACAAATTAACCAAATATGTACAAAAATTACACATGCCCATATTTGAATATATCCCTTATAAGGATATTAATATACAGAATCAATCTTTGTATTTATTACTTAAGTTTGGTATGTTTCCGACATAAATAAACATTTTTTGATAAATTACATTTAAAAACAACCGTAGAAACTTGATGTACATATAAATAGACCTTCCCCATTTTTTTCTTTATTTGACCGAACATTTGTGATCTCTATATCACGTGACTTAGGTAATCGATGTTGAAAAACAAACATCAAAATCATAAAATAAAATGATCAAAATTATTATTATTATTTTTTTTTTTTTTTAAATCACATTTTAAAGAGATTTTATCGTAGGCCGGAAAATGACCTATAAAGGTATTTTTCCGGAAAAGTGTTCCCCGAGCCATATAGGTCATTTCTTTTTTTAAAAAATGAGTTGTTCCTTTCTGTTACTTTCAATTACTTCAGTAAATCCTTTAAGACTGGTTGAAATTTGAAATAATTTCATTATTCTATAGTAAATTTGGAAACAAAACACATTTTCTCCACGTTCTTGTTCGGCCAAAAATAATAGTACCCACTTGTAAGATGAAAGGGAAAGTAATGATCTTTCAAATTCCTAACATTTCAATATAAAGGACACATATGGAAATATATTTTAAATATTCTTATTAGTCACATATCTAACAAAAATTTCCCCTTAATTTCGTCTGCAAAATAAAGAAATTTAATTTTCTTTGTGCTCTACTTTCTTCCGATTTTCAAAATAATTAGCGTATGTTTCGATGTAAGCCTAATTTCTTTTCAGGCATTTGCCGCTGTTCAGGGTGGTGGAACATTTGTGAAGCCGACACTTATTGCAAGGGATGTCCGCCTTCAACGTGCCCTTGGTCAAAGACAGGAGTTTTCTTTTTATGACGCAAAGCTTGCAAACTTGGCTTACTGTCAGGGTAAGGAAGACTTTTTAGCTCACCTAAGCCGAAGGCTCAAGTGAGCTTTTCTGATCGAAATTTGTCCGTTATCTGTCGTCGTCTTCGTTGTCGTAAACTTTTCACATTTTCATCTTCTTCTCAAGAACCACTGGGCCAATTTTAACCAAACTTGCCACAAAGTATCCTTGGGAAAGGGGATACAAGTTTCTTCAAATGAAGGGCCACACCTTCTTTCAAGGGAAGATAATTATGATTTCGTGAAAAATTAATGGCATTATTTAAAAATCTTTTTCTCAAGAACCACTGTTCTTGAAAACATGAAACTTATGTGGAATCATTGTGAGGTATTGTAAATTCAAATTTGTTCAAATCATGACCCCCAGGGGTCAGGTGGGGCCTACAATGGGGATCAAATTTTTACATAGGAATACATAGAAAAATCTTCTTCTCAAGAACAGCAAAATCAGTGCGATATTTAACTCTGGACACGACATTGTCCAGACTTTTTACTACCAATTCTAATTGTGATGTCCAAAAATAAATTATAGCACTTGGTAGTATTTCTTTGCAGTATCTACGGGTCTCATGTTGAACTCTCAAATATCTCCTTTTTTAAAGATATGAGGACCAAAAAGTCATAATCCCATGGGAGAATGGAGGGATTTTTAGTTCTAACAATATCCCACCTTTCTCACATGGGAGAAAAAGTGTCATATGGGATATTTTCTCCCATTGGGATTTTTTCTCCCACAAATTTGCTCAAATGGGATAAATCCCATGGATATTGACAATGAGTCATTTTCTCCCATACATTGTTAAACATGGGGTATATCCCATAGATTATGACGAGTGAGATATCATTAACATAAACTATGGTAGGGTGGGGCCACAATTTTTGATCAAATCTTTACATAGGAATACAAAGGAAAAATCTTTAAAATTCTTCACAAGAACAGCAAAGCCATGATTGGTCATAATAATATAAAAGCATCCTCATGTAATGTAGATTTAAATTTGTTCAATTCATGACCCCCCAGGAGAACAGAGGGGCCATAACAGGGGATCATAGTTATACAAAGGAATATTTAGGATATATCAATAAAAATTTTCCTCTTAAGAACAGCAAAGCCATTATGTATCATATTAATTCAGAAGCATCCTTAGGAAGTGTAGATTTAATTCAGGTTTGTTCAAATCCCCCCTCCCCCCGCTCCCGAACCACTAATCTCTAAATATCTAAACTTTTCAATACTGAACTGATTTCTGCTTTTTCCTAGCCAAAGTGCTTAGGTGAGCGATGTGGCCCCTGGGCCTCTTGTTCTTTATATTTTCAAAAATGAAATGAAACGATGACCTGTAAAATACCCTATGATCACTTACATGTAAAATACCCAATGATCACCTACATGTAAAATACCCTACGATCAGTTACATGTAAAATACCCTATGATCACTTACATGTAAAATACCCAATGATCACCTACATGTCAAATACCCTACGATCAGTTACATGTAAAATACCCTATGATCACTTACATGTAAAATACCCTATGATCACTTACATATAAAATACCCAATGATCACTTACATATAAAATGTTATCATTTCCTTTCACATAGACGTGTGTGATCCTTCACTTTTGGCTAAAACTTGCCTCCACGATGGTTACCAGGATCCCAAAAACTGTTCCAGATGCCGCTGTGCAGACGGACTAGGGGGAGACTACTGCGAAAATGTTCAAATACATCCTCAAAGTACCGGTAAATTAGTCTTCATCCTCATTGAATAAGTTAAAAGTTAAATTATCTTCATAATTTTTTGCTCGTTGTTGTTCTTTGAATTCAGTCGGATTATATGCTACATCGTATGGGTTAAAACTCTCACCGAAATTCTAATTTGGTTATAGTGAAAAGCGGAGAAATCTTTGTTTCCGATAAACCAATAATGATTTCTGCATATACAACGAGTGATTATAGGAAAGGGACAAAATTATCCTGGCTCTTTAAGGTAAGTTCTTTAAAGCACAAACAGAAACATATGAATTATTAAACAAAGGGAGGTCTCTGTAGATATCAATTTGATTTTTTTTTACACAGCTTTGGGTTTTTTTTTCAGACTGAGCCGAACAAAAACATCAAACTAACTTTTAAAGGAGATTTCATGATGTATTATAATTGCACAGATGACCCTAATGAAAAGTGCCGGGATTATGTTGAAGTTCGGTATTACCACAATCTAGCAAATCCCGGAGCAAGGTATATACGTGCACTAGAAAACGGGAAAGATAAATTGTTTAAAAATGCGTGTTTTATATAAATCACTGATTAAATACTAGTTATTTATATTTTGATTTTCAGATTTTGTTGTTTCAATAAAAATGACAAAACCCCTCCCCTCTTGTCAGAGGGAAATCAGATGCTGGTGTTGATGCGCGCTTTTGGAGATGGTAAAAAAGGCTTCGAGGCGGAGGTGGTTTCAGGTAAAAATTTCTTTGAGTGGTTAATATTTATCAAAAGCCAGCACTACATATATAGTCCAGAAATCTGTATTATGTTAGGGTTAATGTACGAGTAGCGCTGTAGCAACCTCTAATGATAAAACGCCTCTTAATGATACAAATATCATTAAGCGTTGCAATTGCAACGCTCAGTGCCATAAATTATTGCATTAATAGTTGACATTCACAACAGCTAATGCTAAATCGCCACTTAATGATAGAATTATATTATTAAGCGTCACAAATGCAGAGCAACATCGACGCTTAATGAAACAAGCAAATATCTACATAATTGACGGTTAATGATACACACTAGTATATCATTAAGCGTTGCAGTCGCATCCTTTAATGATAAAAAAAAAATCCCCCCCCCCCCCACCGGGATCTTGACGTCATATGCATCGTTATTTGACTGTGTGAATGTGATATATTTTTTTATCATTCTTTTTATTTTTTTCTATCTCGCATGTTTCATTTCAAAAAGATCTTTACTGGTATTTTACCGGTGTTGTAGACTAGGATTTCCTCCATAGCCAGCTTTTCTCCAGGAAATTGTACCATAGAGTTGGATTTCCCCCGAGGGGAAATCTCACACCAGAGCCAATTTTCCCCCTCTTTCTTTCTCAGAGTAGGATTTCCGCCATCGTTATGGAGTTACCGCAATATTTTTGTGAAAAAAGATAAACGACACACTGATGTTTAAATGAAAATGAATGTTTTTGACTTGTATACTGTTCAATTGTAGTAAGAATTTTCTTAGCATATTTTTCCAATCATGGAGACTCAACCCGAATATTTAGCTTTCAAAAGAAATGTAAAACTCCTCATATTCGAAACCTTAACACTTCTAATGGCGCAGCGATACTTGTATTTGTCACATATTTTCAATGTGCAGTAAATCAAAGCTATCTAATGTTTAAAGATTCAGTTTGTTTTCAAAGAAAGTAATTTATATATACCTTTTACTACTTGTATGTTGTTTGAATCCAATGAACGAAAGAATGGTTTGAGTTAGTATCTCAATAGAACGAATTAATTATATCACAACGAGTTCGATTTGCGCTGAGAAAAATGAGATGTAAATTCTTCGTATGTTTCAATACATCTGTAAGGCCGTCACGGTAGCTCAGTCGGTAGAGCGCTCGCTCCGTGATCGGAAGGTCGTGTGTTCGAATCTCGGCAGCGACTGACCTAAGTCGATAAAAAAATAGTAGCAACTGTTCCTTCGCCAGGCGGTTGGCACTTTGAAGTGAAAGTTGCGGGTCCTTCGGATGAGATCTTAAAAACCGAGGCCCCGTGTCACGGCAGGTGTTGGCACAATATAGATCCCTCACTGCTCAATGGCCCTGAGTGCCAAGTAAAGGTCTAAATTTGAAGCCCTTCACCGGTATATGGTGACGTCTCTATATGAGTGAAGGCCCATTGCTTTTACGGAATGAAGCGCTACGAGTACATTAACCCGCTTAAAATCCACTGTTTAAAATGCTTGTAATTATTGTTTGTTAATATATAATACAAGAATATATAAAAGATACACGGTAAATATATATGTGACATATTTGTAGTATTTAATATATATAGATAGAGTAAGGCGAGTAAAGTGTTATAATGTAATTTAAATCCATCGTCTGTCAACAGCTTTCGATAGCTTAGTCAGATAAGTGTCTGACTTTAATGGTGAGGGTGCCGGTGTAACCGTGATTTCTGTCGCTAGTGCTCAGGGTCGCTCTTAATAGAATATATAGGGAAAAGAGCGACTCAAATCACTGGCCTCTGCGCATGCCTGGGGATTTTAGTCGCTTCAAATCCAAGCGGTGCTCTACTGGTTTTAAATCCACGGTAATAGTATCCGCAGTCTTAGCTTTTAGTTTTTTTATTTATTTATTTTAATCCTAAAAGTATGCAAAACAATTAAATAAAAGTTATTTAAAACTTAATATTGAATTTTCTTCGTATAGGATTATTAAATGATGGTTTAGATTTCTAAAATCTATTTATTTTCTAAAAGGAAATAAACGACTTCAAATTTAATTAAAAATTTTGTAAATTGAATATATATTTTAAAAAAAAAAGAAGGAGGAAAAACATGCTACGGTTCACAATCTCTCAATCATTTGTTTCAACAGGTGTGAACCATGCCCAGGGCGTTATCTTATACAGGTGTCAACAATTACCTGTATGTTAATAACTCACAAACACAGCTCCCCGTGGTCAATTTTTACCAAAAGGTGTGTGTTTTGATAACCACTTCATTATATACACTTGTATTTTGTCTTCAATGAACCATAAATACCTGTATTTCACCAGAATAATTATAGTGATAATTCTTATCTCATTTCGACCTATTTTTTTATTTAACAGATAAATTAAATAACGGGAAAATAATTCTGAACAAATAAATAATGACGACATAATAATTTTAAATACGTTCAGGTGGTTGGCCACTTGTCCGGCGAAATGATAAGAAAAAGAGAAAAAAAATGGATGTGGTTTTAATTTTATGTAGCTGATATAAATTTTGAGTTTAATAAATCTGAATATGAAGAATTGAAGAAACATTATCTTAAACAAATCAAGAGCGTCGGTGATTCAAGTCGCTCTACAAAAAATTACGGTTTCATGTTCAATTGTTTTATACGAACCGACTAGTATGCCTTCTGTTACAACATTAAATAGTAAAACGGGATGCTGTTTTGATTTAAAGTAGATTATCTGAGTGTAGTTCAATATTTCTAAGGAAAAAATCGGAAAACGTTATTTTAAATTTATTTAGTTATTCGGTCACTGTTCAAAAGGAGGTTTCATAACCTACCAGAATTACCGCTTGGGATTTCTATTTTTAGAGCGACTCTGAGCACTAGCGACAGTTTTCACTGGTACACCGGGATCGATTCTTAGCGGTACCAGTATGATTATTCCTTAATATGAAAATAAACTTTAGTTAATGAAATTTTTTAAGTTCTTTCTTCGGTAGAGGCACGGGAAGGAGAATTTGAACATAGCAAATACCGTTTTCAATGTAATTTGCAACTCTCCATTCCTGAAAATGATATAGTGGAGCGTTGAAACATAAGAGGGACGTCACAAGTGGATTTTTTTTACATATTTGTACAAGTGGTATCGTGCAGTAATGTATCATTATCAGACATTAACATTCCAAAAAGTCAATACGAGTATGACTGGACGTTGGTTGTTTGAACAATATTTAATATGAAATACAAAATGAAACATAGTTTTAACTGGTGTCCTTTTAGAATATTGCGGAGGATATGGACAAAATAGCCGTAGGGATCAGTCGTATATGCCTTGTTCCCGCCTTATTAAGGAGACTTGTCAACAAGTGTGGGAGGAGAGGGAGGAGGTGTCCTGTAAAACCTGGTACACTTGGGCTCCTGACTGCAAAACAGAAGTGTAAGCATGCCCTTTATCTGTTAATTTTGAAAATGTTTCTTTCATACTATTTTTATTACCTCGCCAAAGGTTTAAGTGAATTTTCTGATCGAAGAGTGTCCGACGTCTGTCTTTCTGTCTTGTAAGCATGTAAGCATCAGACCAATATCAAGCTAAGATGCCACAAAGCATCCAATGGCAAAGTGAATTAAACATGGTTAAAATCACAAGCAACACATTCCATCAATGGGAGATAATAGAGCAATTGTAATAATATGGTGGGTTTAATTAATTATTTCATGCCTAAATAGGGGGGAAATATAGTGTTCTATTAATCCATTTTGGCGTCATAAAATTTAAAGAATACTTGAATTGATCACAAACTGAGTAAACCAATGTAGAGTTCATTTTTTTTATTCTAGATCTATGGGCAAAATACTCTAAATGCATAAAAATACCACAGAATTACAACTCTTTAGTGTGCAGTGTACTAGAAAGATTCCTTAAATACTTGGTATGAATAATGTTTGAATAGGAAAACATTAACAAATTTTCTAAACAATAACAGGCCACAATTAGTCATATTAATGTGCAAACATAAAGTGTTGATGAAAGTTTCTTCAAAGTATAGTTCCTGGGGGTTGAGGGTGAAGGTGCTGAAATAGATGTTAAAAATTTACTATTAATCCTTGAAAAATAATTCCCGTTGCGAACGACAATACCACAGTTAGTACATTAAATTGATAAAGTTTGCATCTTTAAGAAACTATTATACATTTATTGACTGGGTTCGGGGGCAACAGACCCAAGAACCAAACTGTTTGCCTGAGGCCTTTATGTCGAAAGCAAACAGTTTCGTTCGAGGGGTCGGCAAATGGCATTTTGCCCGAGAACACAGTACATAAATTTTGTAATACCTTTTACTTTTTTAACATATCTTGTGCTGGCTTCCATGATGTAAATTTCGTTTACCCGCACTGCAGTTTAAACTAGGTCAATGTTCTGCCGAACTTCAGCGAATGTAAAGAAGATATAGCTGATCCCTCCTACACTGAGACGTAAGCGGTCCAATATCTCATCGACAGATCCAGTATCTCACTCTGCGGTCAAACATTTTTTTTTTTGACCGCTCAGTAAAACATTGGAAACGTTAGCCTTTTTTAGTATAGATTAATATAGGTAACAATTTTTAAAGCATAACAAATGTAAGTGTTACAGGGAATATGTACACGTAGGAAAAATCCTCTTTCAAGAAGACTAAATTCAAGGTAACTCAGATGAGTGTTGTGGCCCATGGGCTTGTGTGTAGTACAATAAATTGCTTTTAAAAAACAATGTTTTACACAATATTTTATGCATAAAATCTTTACAATCCTGCGAAATTTATTTTACTCAAATAATTATATTTACAAATTTGAATATCAATGTTTTCTCCAATATGTAGAATGGTAAAGAAATCCCGACCTGCTTTGTGCCCTAGATCCACATATTACTGCTCTGATGGGTTCTTCTTTGATGGTCAATTATGCGTTGGTAAGATAATTTATTGAACTACAAAGACTTCAGCTAATGGCCTATGGGACTATAACTTCCGGAAAAGAAAAAAAAAACGTATAACCGCTTAAAGAGACGTCAATTCAAAGTCCATAATTTCAAAATTTTTATTTTACAGTATCAAACCGAAGCTTGCAAATTCTGTAGATTTCTTTGCCAAACATTGATTTCTTGATATTGTTTTTCTAAACAAACTTGAATCTACATGCGGACATATGTAACGGTGGTCCTAATGTTCCTCAGAAGAAAACTTCTAAAAACTAGATACTGTCATAAGACTGTAATATCCGCAAGTAAGTGTTTGCCTCTAAATGTACACTATCTCCCTTGTACCTGGGTAGCAAAGAAACCACAAAAGTTATTCTATAATTAACATGAAATACGTATACATGTATCAAATTTAGTATAAAATGTATAGGTGAGCATTTGACCTTTGGCCTCTTTGGTCTGAAATTAAAGATTGAAATGAAGTTAATTCTGATTTTAAAAGAAAAGTTTTAGAAAAATATATTCCTTTAAAGAAAACAAGAAGAAAATCGGCCTAAATTGGATCTTGAAAACATCATTTTTCGACTTCCATTTGGCCCCAAGGGTGAAAATGAAAATTCCGAAACGTTATTGCACATCTGCAGGACACCCCTTATCATCTTGCAAAAATTGAAGAGGTTACTGCGTAAAATATAAGAGGAGTTCTGGGTTTTTGTAAAATAAAAAATGTCGTTTTTCGACCCCATTGGACCCCTAGGGTGAAAATGAAAATTCCGAAACCTTATTGCACATCTACACAACATCACCAATTATCTTCCAAAAGATGATTTGGTTACTGCGCAAAATGTAAGAGTTCTGGGAGTCAGGTTCCTGTAAACCCCCATTTGACCCCCAGAGTGACAATGAAATTTTCGAAACCTTATTGCACATCCATCTTTCAAAAGATGATTTGGCTACTGCGCAAAATGTACCAGGACATTTGAGAACCAGGTTTTTGTAGAAAAAAGTTGTTTTTCAACTAGGTTGAAAATGAAAACTCTAGCTGAAATCTTATAGCACATCTAAAGGACATCATCTATCATATTCCAAAAGATGAATTGCTCACTGCTTGAATTGTTAGAGGAATTACAGGAAGAAGAAAGTGTGACAGACGGACGGACGGTTTAGATTTGTTCAGAGCATGGTTTCCGAGGGTAGGGTGGGACCACGTTAGGGTACTGTAGCAAAGTTTGACATAATTTTAATCTTATCTTTTAAAAAGATAGATGAGCTAGCGCTGTAGCCATTATAAACACAGATATAGTTTTCTGAATCATTGGTTTATAATAATGAATCGATTAATTATTAATAGAAAGACACTGCTGCTAAAGAGGGAGGGGTCTCAACTCAGAAGTGAGAATGGTAAAACTCGAGTGGGTTACACTTGGACAATGACACCACTTTGCTTTAAGCAATCTAGCTGTCTTTCAAGGAAATTTCATTATTTAAATATTCCATCGTGGTAATGTTTTGCAGCGATCGCACATTCTCGGGCCTTACTGACAAGCTCGGAATACTATATGATGTACGAGATTTTGTACAAAAGTGGAGTCGCTTACCATCAGTTAGATACATGTTTTTGGCTAAACAGAGTTGATTGTATCTTCTGCAGTATATTATAGGATATATCGTATGATGTTTTCAATGAAGTTTAGCTCGAGATTCTATACATAAGATGTCCCCTACATTTATTTCAATGTTTGTAAAAAGTGATAAGCTAGGTTTTCATTATCAATTTTAGGAATAACATCTCTGCAGTCTTGGTATACATGTTACTGGGCCTAAGTAACTGGTACATTTTTGTACAGGTTATACGACAAAACACGAAACTTCAGATAATATGTATTTTTAAATGATAATATGAAACTGACATGGTATTTTCCCTACAGTGTCCTACTGTGAATTCAAGTAAAAATACAGCGTATTCCAGCAAAATATAGGTCTAACCTAGCTGCTAGCTTTCGAGAGCGCAAAAGTATATATTCCACGGTGCCAGTATACAAAAACGAAATAATTATATCAAACACAAAATTTAATTCCCATTCCTCCTGTTCCTTGGGAAGGCGGTAAGGGACATATTAGCGGGTTTCTTTAGCGGGAGTAAAATTTGGGGTTTTGTTTGCTCAAAGGTATGCCAATAATTTTGCGGACACAAAGTATTATGGCGTTGCAAAAGTTTATCCTCTAGATAAGTTTCAGGATCTTTTTCTTATACTCATAACTTGTATGCAAGGGTGCAAATTTAGCGATTAAAATTTGAGCGGACTACTACAAAACCGCTAAAATAAGCCAAAGATAGCACCCCGCTAAAAATTCCAGCTATACGTATATAACAAGTACACAAATTCTCTCTCTCTCTCTCTCTCTCTCTCTCTAAGCTGACAGATAGAAACCTTTTGAACAATCCAATGCATATTTAGGAATAATGAAGCATATTTGATAATTCTACCTTGTATTATCACTAATTAAAATGAAGCTTAACATAAAATACACGCAAGAAAGAAATATGTTTGTTAAATCATACATTGCCAAGTTGTTATGTTAGCAATAATTACTTGACTCACTGGAAACGGTAGCTCAGTCGGTAGAGCGCTCGCTACGTGATCGGAAGGTCGTGTGTTCGAATCACGGCCGCGACTGACCTAAGTCGATAAAAAATAGGTAGCAACTATTCCTTCGCCAAGCGCTCGGCATTTTGAAGTGAAAGTTGTGAGTCTTTCGGATGAGACCTTAAAAACCGAGGCCCCGTGTCACGGTAGGCTTTGGCACGATAAAGAACCCTCACTCCTCAATGGCCCTGGGTGCCGAGTAAAGGTCTAAAGTTGAAGCCCTTCACCGGTATATGGTGACGTCTCTATTTGAGTGAAAAATTCTCGAACGGGACGTAAAACAACATACAATCAATCAACTGACTTACTGGAAAAATTGAAGGAATCATGATTTATAGTAAGACTGTAAGCGCGGAATGGTTTCCGGCAAGTTATAAAATCTATTCTCACAATTTTGTATGTTACGATAGTTTTGGCCTTTATCGTTTTTGTCAATATTTCTTGTTGTTACAGGATTAACCAGTACCTTCACATTACCACCCTCTCAGACGACTCACACGGTCACTTTTCAGGACAACAAACTATCTTCAACCAGCAACGTTTTGTACGACGCCGTTGGCTGGACAATATGGTCATCCTGGAGTGCCTGCAGCGCTACATGCGGTGGATGTGGAATTCAAACAAGAGATAGAACTTGTGAGGATTCCCAACTATGTGGGTTAGTGTCAAGACGCATTTACGTCCAAATTTAGCTAAACTGTACCAAACTTAAATTTTCTTGTCATAAATGAAAAAAAATATCTCTAAAGTGATTGATATAAAACCAATGCATAGAAAATTGCATCTTTGTTAGACAAATATAATCTTAGTCAATGGAACATCAATTCCTTTCACAGATGTAAAATATGAAAAGTACTGTATAAAAAAAGCAGTTACCAGAATAGTATTAAATGAAAATTCATAATATTTTATTGTCACAAAAAGTACAGTAAATTACGTTTCAAAATTATATGGCCCTGAAACCCTATAACCCTTAAATAAATGCTGTCCATATTAGTTTGTTTAAAGTGTAATATTTTGTAGAATGATATGTATTTTTGGTCTTATGCATATTTTGCACAATCATATCTGCCTACCTTTAATACAGCAGCTTTGTGCAATGCAAGTAATTAAAACTATAAGTGGTGCCAATGATAAAATTTCTCATTCCGAATTAAGAATTCTGTGAAACTCTTTATATAGCCAATTAATAATCTTTTTAGGTCACCAGGGTCACTCGGGTAACCTATTGCTATCTGTTTTGTCCATCGTCTTGTGTCGTCCGTTATGTGTCAACATTTGAACATCTTCAGCTTTTTCTCTGAAACCGCAGAAGCAAAGTTCAGCCAATTTTAGCATATGGCATATATAATTACAGGAAAAAATTATTGCATTTCGATCATATAGTAAAAATGCATACATGTACATGCTTCTCCCCCCCCCCCCCCCCCCCCCCGTTTATTTAGCAAAGAAACAAAGTGCATGGTTATGATGAGTATTTATGCCTCTTCAAAAATCGTGAAATTCATGGCCCCAGGCTCAGGGGTTCTGGTCTCGGGGGGGGGGGGGACTGTATTGATAAAAAAGCGAAAATGCATTATTTATTTGAAAATCTTGATCTCTGCTCCTGCATATCAAGCAGATATACTATGTGCATGGATAAGATGAGCAAGGGTGCCTCTTCTAAAATTGTGAAAATCATGGCCCCTAGGTCAGGGTTTCTAGTGTTGGGGCGGGGTTCTATTGATCATATTGTGAAAATGGACAAATTCTTTTAAAAACATCTCTGCCCTTGGAATTTAGCAAAGTAAGTGCATGGTTATGTTGAGCAAGAATGCCTCTTTCGAAATCTGTGAAATTCATGGCCCCAGGATCAGGGATTCTGATGTTGGGGGCGGCTGTATTGATAATTTAGTGAAAATGCGTTATTTCTTTGAAGCAAAAGCAAAAAAATAAGTGCATAATTATGATGAGCAAGGGTGCCTCTTCCAAAATTGTGAAATTCATAGCCCCTGGGTCAGGGGTTCTGATGTCAAGGTGGGGTTCTGTTGTTCTTATTGTGAAAGTGCATTTTTTTTAAATCATCTTCTCTGCCCCTGGGTTTTTAGCAAACAAAGTAAGTGTATGGCTATGCTGAGCAAGGATGTCACTTCCGAAATTGTGAAATTCATGGCCCCAGAGTCAGGGGTTCTAGTGTTGAGGAGGCTGTATTGATAATTAAGTAAAATTTTAATTGTGTATTTTATTCTTCTCCGCTTCTGGGTATAAAGAGAGAAACTAAATGCATGGTTATAAACAAGGATGCCTCTTCCAAAATTGTGAAATCATGGCCCCTGGATCAGAGGTTCTGTTCTTAGGGTGGGACCCTATTGATTATATAGAGAAAATGCATAAATTCTTTGAAAATCCTCTTCTCTGCTCCTGGGTATTAAATAATCAAAGTAAGTGCATGATTATGATGAGCAAGGATGCCTCCTATAAAATTGTGAAATTCATGGCCCCTTGGTCGGGGTTGTGACGGAACATATTGTCGTTCTGTATATATTGTCGTCGGCGGCAATATGTACCTACCCTCACTGCATATGTTGTCGTCCATTGGTACACATTGTTGCCGGCTGAAAAGTTACACATGTACATATTGTCGCTGGCAACATTATGTGCCTACCCTCACTGCATATGTACCTACCCTCACTGCATATGTTGTCGTCCATCGGTACACATTGTTGCCGGCTGAAAAGTTACACATGTACATATTTTCGCTGGCAACATTATGTGCCTACCCTCACTGCATAAAGGAAGAGAAAAGTAGCACTTGGACTTTTAACTTTTCAACACCAATGAATAGAATAATGATCCTTGGTTTAGTCTATTTTTGTGACAAGATTTATTGCAATCAGACTAAAACTGTAGGAGGAGTAGCCTTTTCAAAAATTTTACATAAATTTTGATTTTAAGGGCCATAGCAACATCATTCAACAAAAATCAAAAAACAATAAAGACAATTATGTATCTCATGGTTGTCTAATTGTGTGCCCAAGTTATATTAAAATCAGACCAAAACTGTAGGAGTAGTAGCGTTTTGATAGTATTTCAAGTAAATTTCTATTTTTAGTAACCATGGCAACACCATCGAAATCAAAACCTGAAGTGAGAATTATGTATCTTAAGTAGTCTACTTGTGTGCCAAGTAATACTGAAATCAGAACCAAACTGTAGGAGGAGTAGCATTTTGAAAGTATTTCAAGGAAATTTCTACTTTCAGTAACCATGGCAACACCATTCATCGAAATCAAAAATCAATATATAGAATTATGTATCTAGGTGTAGTCTACTTATGTGCCAAGTTGTACTGAAATCAGACCAAAACTGTAGGAGGAGTAGCATTTTGAGATTATTTCAAGGAAATTTCTATTTTTAGTAACCATGGCAACACCGTTCATTGAAAGCAAAAACCGATATACAGAATTATGTATCTTAGTGTAATCTGCTTGTGTGCCAAGTAATACTGAAATCAGTCCAAAACTGTAGGAGATGTAGGGTTTCAAAGTATTTCACAGAAGTTTCTATCTTAAGTAACCATGGCAACATCGTTCATTGAAATCAAAAACCGATACACAGAATTATGTATCTTAGTGTAGTCTACTTGTGTGCCAAGTTATATTGAAATCAGACCAAAACTGTAGGAGGAGTAGCGTTTTGAAAAATTGTTTATAGACGGACGGACAGCTAGACAGAAAGACAGACAGACGGACGGACGACGGACACCTTACTATCGCATAAGCTCTTCTGGTCTCTGATCAGTAGAGCTAAAAAGTAACATTTTTAATCTCCAAGTATTTCTTATGATAAAAAAATGGGATGATGTATAAGATATATCACGAATAACGGCATTTTGGCATAATATTATGGTGTACACCAATCCTGGACACAGTTTTCTGACCAAAACCTTTCCTTCCTATATTGCGAGTTATGCTAAATAAATGCAACTAGTTTACTAATTTATCTGCCATACATACTCTCTCTCTCTCTCTCTCCACGACTTTAGTAAATATTCTCTTTCTAAGGAAGAAATTCTTCAAAATCATATGTCAGTTTTGAATATTTTTAATATTCCAAACAACCAAAATGAATTTGAATTACAATATCTATATTGGATTCCGAAACTTCGTAAAAAATCCTTACAAACAAAGATACATAGAGGGTTCCAGTAAATGTTCAACCAAGCCTCATTCTTTACTCCTCACTAAGATATTAACAGTAATGAAGGGGAAACTTCAAGAGTACTGTGCAACAATATATTCGAGAAGTGGTGTTAATCAGATGTGGATACTTAAAAATTCCAAGGAACTTTTGGAAAATTTGAAATCACAAGATTTTACCAAAATCAACAGCTTAAAAACTTACGACTTTTCAACTTTATACACAACCATTCCCCACGATAAATTAAAATCCAGGCTTTTTGATATCATTGACAGCTGCTTTTTCAATAAAAATGGAACTCGTAAATTTACTTACCTTGTCATTGGTCATTTGCAAAATTATTTTGTTAAAAAACATTCTTATTGTACACACAAGTACTCTGAAGCTGACATTAAAAAGATGATTGAGTTTCTGATTGACAATATCTATGTGGTTTTTGGAGACCAGGTCTTCCAACAATCTATAGGGATTCCCATGGGTACCAATTGCGCCCCGTTATTAGCAGACCTCTTTTTGTATTCATATGAAGCAGAATTTGTCCAAAATCTTATTCGTGAAAAGAAGAAAACACTTGCTGTGGCCTTCAACTCAACATTTAGATATATCGACGACGTATTGTCAATTAACAATGGTTATTTCCATTCTTATGTCAATACGATATATCCCGGTGAGCTTGAGATAAAAGATACTACAGAGTCTGACACATCTGTTTCATATATGGATATTTTGCTTGAAAAAGACGTTAATGGTAATCTAACAACCAAGCTTTATGATAAACATGATGACTTTAACTTTTCAATCGTCAACTTCCCTTACTTATGCAACAATATACATGTACCTTCATCACCTGCATATGGGGTTTATATCTCTCCTTTGATTCGATACGCAGGAGCATGCTCTCAGCAAATACAATTTATCATTGAATCAAATGCTGACTGAAGTTTTTCATACTAATTATTAGGCCTTTATTTACACACTGAATTTTCGACGGATTTCTCCGTTATTACCGATCATGACAAGGAGCACACGGCGGGTGTGATCGGTTGGCAGGGGATGCTCACTCCTCCATGGCACCTGATCCCACTCTGATGTTTTAGAGGTCCGTGTTTGCTCTGTTCCTGGTTTGTATTGTTTGAATGGACTTTTGAGCTTGAATACTGTTCGTTATCTCCATATATTTCATTGATAAAACGTCGTTGATATACAGTGTACCTAAATGTCGAGTTGAAGGCCACAGCAAGTGTTTTCTTCTTCCCATGTTGAAGTTTTTGAATAAATTCTGCTTCTATGGAATATAAAAACAAGTCTGTTAATGAAGGAGCAAAATTAGTTCCCATCGAAATTCCTACAGAATGTTTGAAGGCCTGGTCTCCAAAGACTACATAGATGTTCAGTATCCTTTTAGTATCAAACTCAGAGTATTTTTGTGTAAAATCAGAGTGATTTTTTACAAAGTAATTTTGTACATGTAGATGACCAATCATAAAATATGAAAATTCCCGAGTGTCTAATCAAAACTAAATGTGTTGTGCGACTTATCAAAACTTGGCGGAAAAATTTTAATAATTATGATCTTAATCTTAAATCTTAATAATTATATAATAATTATAGCAGAACAGAGGTGGAAAGTATGTAGAGGACCCTTAACTAAATTTAGGCGTTTTATATTATTTGTACATAGAAAAGTATAGTTTTAAAATACATGAGATAGTTGGTATTGATAATGGTGAACCGATAAAACATGAGAAAGACTCATACATGTAGAATGATAATAAGGGTAAGTATTCCATGTCTTTGGGCTCCCTATCCTCGACCATTCATGTACAGCCACATTAAATCATCTTTTTGAAATTGATAATGATATAAAAGGTTTGCGAGGTAAATCAATATGTTCTATTTTTAGGGGTAAAACTTACGAGAGAGAGGCAAAACAGTGCGGATTACAGCCATGCGATAAAGATAAAGTGTCGAACAAATGTACTCGAGAAATAGAGAAGCAGAAACTTTGTAGTCCTTTATCCATGGATATATGCGTTACGTAAGTTAGCAAGTTTATGCTGTGAAATTTTAAAATATATATATATATGTATAAATATTGTGTCTCACTAGGTTGATCCCAATTTTCCATGAGCAAAAAAGCCCCTTAACATATAACATTATTTTTATTGTCATATTATTATATTATATATTATTATTGTTATAACATAATTAAAATTCTTTTTTGTAGGACATATACAGAAACTTACGATTGTTTCGGTACGTGTTGTGCAAATTATAAAATTGATGGAAACAGTTGTGTTCCAATAAACAAAAGATAGGATTCATTAAGATGGAAAAGGGATGCTAAACGCAAAGCGGGTAGTTTCCTTGCCCAAATGACCGAAGAGGGTCTATATCTGTGATATTGCTTGTATTCTCCTAGATTGTCAAGTAGAATGCAGACATCATTCCGTCATCGCCTGGGGCTACTGCAAAAGAACGACACACCCCACAGAGTACTTTAAACTGTACCTCATATACGCCAAGGTTTAAGGGGGCATACTAAAAAACTAAAAAAATGATTTAAAACATTTTTCGATCTTTAGAATTCCATTACAGTTTGTGTATTTGTGAATATAAATAGTCATGTTCATTTTCATTGTACAAACACAATTATTTACTTCAGATCTGCTATTGAAAAATGTTGGGGAAATATTTCGAACAGTCTATTTAATATTTTATGGTATATTATGGTCCTTAAGGTTCATTGTCCCTCTGTTCACTCACATTTTGCTTAAATTTTGCTAATGATTGTCCAAAGTAAATTTAATTTATAACGCATACACTATCAGCATAAATTGCAGGGCAAAATTAGATAGAAGTAGCCTTTCATATATAATCTTGTATTTCACTGAGAGTTATCTCTCTTATCAGAGGGTCAGTTTTATTCTTTAAATGTTTTTTTTTTCTCAGTTGAAGGTATGGTGATTTTGAAATTACAAAATTTAAAACCTCAGATCTCCTACCCCTTCCAAAAAGTAAAATACAGGTAATCACACTGCAGCTATATATAAGACAAAAAGAAGCAGAAGTAGAACAAAGTTTACGGATATAAAATAAATGGATATAAATAAAAAGTAAACAGGTTTCATGCAAGACGAAAGCGTGGCGAATTAACGAATTAAGCTTTTTGTTCGTCGATTGGTGTCAATCAGTAATTCAACGTTCTTCGATAATAAATATTATGAAATCTTTATTTACCAACGTGCATATTACCCGCTTATTGTTAAGTCGCAAACGATGCCTGTACTCAAAAAATGTTGTAAACAATGGCCGCGAAATTTGAGCCTTTTCAAGATAGCAACCTGATTCTGATTTTCTTAACATGCATGCCAATGGGAATATCAAGAAAGATCAAAGTACTGAAAAAAAACTGCAGGGTGGAGGCATGAATAACATATAATTTTATACATTTCACAATGTCATTATCTTTTGTACGAGTGAAATCGATTAAACAAATTAAGTAATACGTAATACACTGTATCATATGTACTATATATAACTAATGTTTTCTCAGCCGCGAAAATTAATAGTCGCAGATCAACTGAAACTGACGAATCACGAATACAATTTGTCGAGAATAATATATTTCCGCGGAAGAGGCCCGAAGAAATGCATGAATAATGGTCGCCCGAGGCGACTAAATACAACTGAGAACTTCGTAGCACTGACCCGGTTGGGGACCAGAATTTCCTCTATGTCTGCAGTTTTAATTGCATTGATAAACATAGTTTCTCATTGAAATCATAGTTTTTATCTATTATTTAGATATTATAATACAAAGTACGATTGGCCGATGTCTGCACATTTTTAAACAAGACGCTTCATGTGATAAAATTAAGGAATCTTAAATAATACAATTAGGTACCTTCATATTGATTTGATTTAAATTAATGTTTCTGCTAGGTCGCACATCTGCGCGCATCAACATCATGTGGCAAAAAGTGTTACTTCTTGACTTAATATGGGCTAGTAAAAGTGAAAATTAAAAGTTAGTAGCCCGTTTGGCTACTAAATTTTAGGGGTTAATTGTAATCCCTGATGAAATAACTTTGAATATATTGATACTTCTGTGGGCTTGGGTTTTTTTTTCTTTCATTTTTTTCCCTTTTTTTAAAAATACATTTCAGTACCATGTTAAAGAGGAATGAAATTAGTTTGAGAAAACGCTTATTAAAAATAATAATGATAAAATTAACTCCTGACCATATGATTGATACTGACTGATATTTGGATTCCACATAATTAATATGTTAAATTTGTATTTGAACAGTGCATCAAAAATGAGCACAAAAATGTGCTTTATAACAGTCAGTCAATTACTTTATCAAAACATTATAATTTAAAACAAACATGTCATCATAAGCCACATTAAAACTATAGTACTTAAAAAATATTACATTTTAAGGTATCATGTGAAATTGTTATCCCGCGAAAATCCTTGTTGACAGAGGCGCAGCCGAGGTCAACAATGGTTTTAAAGGGATAACACTATCACATGTTACCCTAAAAAATCATTTGGAAGGGGGGGGGGGTATCCTAAATGTATTTAGAATGTATTTGAAGGAAAATATACGGTAGGGTAATAGTACTTTTAACAAATGTTTTTATACCAATAAAATGTGGCTATTTAACATAAAAGTTGAAAAAAGATTATTATATTTCTGTTAAATGATTTCTGTATAAAGTTAAGAAGGTAAAATTACATTTTTATAGTCTGAAAAATTTCACTTCTAGCAAAGCTATACCCTGGGGTATAGTTTGTGCTATCCAACCCTCGGAAAATTCTTATTCAATTTTTGATTTCCTGCAATATGATTGGTTGGCGATTTCTCCAACACTGACGAGTTCCACTAAGCCAAGCCATATACTGGGGTGTAAAATGTGCTATCCAACCCTCAGAAATTATAATCTACATAATAAAACTCTTATCCACTGGCTGTGAGTTGGATAGCTCTTTCATCAAACCCTTGACAGGAACTATTACCCTCGTGCAAGCCCTCGGGGAATAGTTTCTGTTGCGGGTTTGATAAAAGACTTTGTTATACTTTCATGTTAAATAGTCAAATTTGATTGGTTTAAAACATTTGTTAACAAGAAGCCCAGGGGCCACATCGCTCACCTAAGCACTCTGGCGAGGAAACAACAGAAATCAGTTCAGTCTCGAAAAGTTTAAATATAAAAGTGGTTCGGGGGGTTGATTTGAACTGATTTGAATCTATACTTCAAAGGGATACTTTTGAATTAATATGACAAATTATGCCAAATAATGCCCCTCTTTTCTCCAGGGGGTCAAGATTTGAACAAATTTGAATCTACATTACCTAAGGATGCTTCCATATAAATGTGACCAATCATGGCTTTGCTTATCTTGAGAAAAAAATTTTTTAAAGATTTTTCCTATGTATTCCTATGTAAAATTTTGATCGCCCATTGTAGCCCCACCCTACCCCTGAGGGTCATGATTTGAACAAACTTGAATCTACACTTCCTGAGGATGCTTTCATATAAATATGACCAATCATGGCTTTGCTGTTCTTGAGAAGATTTTTAAGATTTTTCCTATATATTCCTATGTAAAACTATGACTTCCCATTGTGGCCCCAACCTACCCCCGGGGGTCATGATTTGAACAAACTTGAATCTACACTTCCTGAGGATGTTTCCATATAAATATGACCAATCATGGCTTTGCTGTTCTTGAGAAGAAGATTTTAAAGATTTTTTCTTATATATTCCTATGTAAAACTTTGATCGCCCATTGTGGCCCCATCCTACCGCACCAGGGTTATGATTTGAACAAACTTGAATCTACACTACCTGATGATGCTTCCATATAAGTTTCATATTTTCAAGCACAGTGGTTCATGAGAAAAAGATTTTTAAATGATGCCATTAATTTTTCACAAATTCATAATTATCTTTCCTTGGAAGAAGGGGTGGCCCTTCATTTGAACAAACTTGAATCCCCTTTACCCAAGGATACTTTGTGGCGAGTTTGGTTGAAATTGGCCCAGTGATTCTTGAGAAGAAAATGAAAATGTGAAAAGTTTACAACGACGACAACTACAGACAACGGACAAATTTCGATCAGAAATATCGATCAGAAAAGCTCACTTGAGCCTTCGGCTCAGGTGAGCTAAAAAGTACCGTTACCCTACCACGTGCGTAAACCACGCCCTCCGAGTAACATTACATAGCAACGGTTGACAATGCATGACAACGGGTAACAGTATTAAAATTGTTAACTGCGCAGAATGTCTGCACGTACGGTTCATTGAAGCTTTTTCTTTTAAATGCATTCTAAAAACATTCAGTATAACAAAAAATTTTTTACATGTTTATTTAGAGTAACATGTGAAATTGTTATCCCTTCAAAACCATTGCTGACCTCGGCTTGGCTTTGGTTAGCAATGGTTTTCGCTTGATAACAATTTCACATGTTACCCTAAAAAAACAGCAAGTGGACACGTGTAAACTGTAGATAGCGAGTTTAAGAAAGCCTTTTGAAGTTTTCCCAGAGTAAAAAACTTCTCCCTGTCACAGTTTATTTCTTAACAAAACTTGTTTTGATACTATACAACTTTTTAGTGATATATATATATATATATATATATATATATATATATATATATATATATATATATATATATATATATATATATATATATATATATATATATATATATATAATACTTTCATGTAAATTAGTTGAATCTGATTCGTCGAAAAACATTTGTTATAAAACACTTTTACCCGCTGAATAATGAAGCCACGCCCTCCAGCGAAGCAACAGTCAACATTGCTTGACGACGGGTGTTATTCCAAACAAATATTGACTACGCAGAATTGATGCGCGCAAAGTTCACTGTAATATGTATTTATATAAAACATTCAGTATAATATAATAAATACTGCATGTAGTTAAGTGTAACATTGAAAATTTTCACCCCTCGAAAACAAGAAGTTAGAATAAAAAAAAAGAAAGAAAATAAGAACATTTTTAAAAAATTGTGGCACTGATGCCCCTCCATAGTTTCTCATATCAAAATTCGACAAACGTGCAAACTTTACATTTGTAGACTTGTGAATTGTCTTTGTGTTTCATTCAGAGCGCGGAAATACAGATTCCGGAAAACAAAGTTTACAACATCAAAAATACCCACATTCATAGTATAAACTCAAAGTCAACACAGTTGTATTTTTAAAATTACATGCTTGGATGTCGGAATATTACCTACTTACATATGTAACCTATGAAACTGATACGATTGCAAGTTTGGATTTACAAACTTACAAGTCTGGATTTCTGAACACGA